GCTTTCTTACATGTATGGCAATACTTTTTACGAGCGAAAAACCCCGGCATCTTGGTAATGACGTCGTAATGATTATCGTAAAGGTACAGATAAATTCTCTTCTCTTGATCGGGACCAACACAAATAAGAGCGTTCTGATGATCTTTGGACACAATATTAATTTGATAATCGGAAAGGTACGTCTGAAAGCGTTTGACTTCATCCAATCCACAGGGACCCAAAGAGACGGCAGTTTTTTTATGTAATACTCGAGCCAAACAGGTTTGCATAGCCCTCCGATGATTAACAATGCTCGTATACTGTGGATCGTTATCAATTTTGGCTTTCGCAACGACCAGGGCCCTCGCCAAACAAAGTTGATCATTGTTCCGTATCCGTATGATTGAGCGTTTCTTCATTAAATGCTTTTCCAAATTAGTTTCGGCTCGCTTCGTACGTTTACCGCCATGGGGCATTTCCACATAAACAACATTGACATCCACACTATCGTTGAGATAAAAATGACGATTGGATTGGATCACGCGTTCAAACTCTTCCAACACACGTTCTGTAGTGAGACGTTCACGAGGCATAAACGGAAATGAAATAGGATTTTCCAGTTGCGGTGAGTGCAGGACGAAACGTACTTGGTCATGAGGAGGAACGCCACGGATAACCTCATCAAGCAAGCTTTGAAATATTTCATGCAGCCTTTCATGATATTCGAAAAGCTCCACATTCGCAAATGCATTCGTAAATTGAATATGATAATCCATACCCGTGGACTTGAACTTTTTCACATTCACTTGTTTCACACTCTGCACCGTAAAAATGTTAGACGTTCCCGCACCATCGTCCTCATCCTGACCCGGTTCATTATCGTCGTTGGTTTCTTCATAAGATCTTTTCTGTCCGCGACCGACTTGTGCTTCACCATCATCGCTGCTCATCTCTTCATATGATCTTTTCTCACCCCGATTAATCTGCATCGGAAGCTCTTCATCTTGCCAATCGCGTAGAAACCTCTCGCGTTGTTCGGGCGTCCAGGTATCTGTAAGATCAGGTACTAGTCCTAACCGTTCGTTTTCCAAACGCCATTCCTTTATCCGCAGAAAAATCTCCATTTTCTTCTCAAACACAAAACGTTCTTCCAGTTCGTTTAATACGTTTTGGCTTTCCAAAGCCAAAAGCTCCCGCTATTGTCTGACATTCTTTGATCTTCCTTTCCATATCTAAACCAAAAACGATTCGTTTAAAAATTATTACATAAAACCCTTTAAGTAAATCTAAACATTTACCTGGAAGACAAGTCTGTTGTCAAACAAAATATCCACCAAAGCTCTTTCGATGTAAACAATATAGTATGAATGAAGTAACTTCCCTCAGTGAAAACTATGAACACAATAACGATAATCGCTCGTCTCCTCTATTTATATTTTCCATCCAACACAGCTAACCGATCAGAGACGGGGATGATTATGACGTAGATGGTGTACGTACACCGCAACCATTCAGAGATGGACATGATTATGACGTCATTGGTGTACGTACACCGCATGACCGCAACCATTCAGAGATGGACATGATTATGACGTAATTGGTGTACGTACACCGCATGACCGCAACCATTCAGAGATGGACATGATTATGACGTAATTGGTGTACGTACACCGTGTACGTACACCATACTATATAAAGCAAACCATTACTATTCACAATCAAAATGAACTCGTGAGAGCAAGTATTCTGGGCAAAGGGTCTTAACGTAGACGAAGTTGTGCCTTGGGAAATCAAAAACCTGTGTAATCTAATGAATGCAATCTTTTCGCAAGCCGTTGACTGTCAAGTGCAGAAACGTCGAAAAAAATTGTTGTGGTTGTGAAGTAAATCATCCAAGTCAGAAAAGACACGATTGTATCATGATGTCCGAAGAAGAGGGATGGATAATGCATGGATCGGAAGCAGTACAGCAAGTGATCGAACATCAAACAGTTTCGAAACAATTCACCGAAGCTATACGCGTCATGAAACTAGACCCTCATGAACATGTCGTTCAACATTTCAAAAATCTAACCAAAGACCCCGAAACAACCGCCGAATTCCTAAAAGACCTGAAGTTTAACTCAAACTTTCCTGAATATCAAGCCATTTTGGGGTATCTCAACTACTGGAGCGAAGAACATTAAACATTTCATAGTTTAAAAACAATATAATATATTTTTTTAAAAAATTGTTTATTAACAGAAAAGTATATTTTAGAAGTTATTATTCTCGAAGTTTATCTTTGAGATAGTTATGATATGCCTTTTGTTCATTTTGCTCCTTACTCTCGAACCTTTCTTTCTTTTCTCTAACATAATAAGGGGGGCTGCTGAAGAGGCACTCTGCAAAAGGTTCCAACGGATCTGCTTTAGGATTAGACAAATCGCATAGGACTTCGATCAATGATTGATTGTCTTGGTATTCTTGAAATAATTATTCGATCAGCATAAGATCAGAATTTTCTTCCAAGCTCAACAAGTGTTCCGTGAAATATTTTTCAAACAGAACATTCAGGATTTCAATAACATTAGTAAATTCACGCCAGACAGCGTAATCAGTTCCGGACAATTTAAGACCTATATCACTCACAGCTCAGGTATCTAAAGTGATGGAAGGATTTATGCTACAGTCCCTCATGTCGGAAGTGGTCATAAATTGGACCCAAAGCAATTTGCTCTTCCGGGAAAGTCAACCACTCAGGCACTCGTTTATCTCCTCCACGTGATTCATGCTGCTTTAGATCAAGGCCACTGCCCTGTAAGAATCTTTTTTGCTGATTTCAAAAAAGGTTTTGATCTCGTCGACCATATCATCATTATTGATGAACTTTTAAAATTACAAGCGAGTCCTGCCATTATAAGATGGATAAAGTCGTTCCTTACCTCCCGCGAACAGTGTGTAAACATCGGATCATCCTCTTCCTCATGGAAACCCGTTAACGGTGGTCTACCTCAAGGAACTAAACTTGGGCCTCTTCTCTTTGCCATTTTAGTCAATTCCCTCCTACAGGACTGGAATGGGCGGATAAAGTTTGTAGACGATGCTACTGCACTAGAAATTGTTCCACGTTGCTCTCCTAGCTTGCTACCTATCCTCGTAAATGATGTATCTCAGTATGCCTGAAGCAGAGGAATGAAGCTTAACAGTAAGAAATGTAAGGAGATGACAATATCCTTCCTCCAATATCACCTTCTACTTGATAATGCGATCTATATAGATGGTTCGCCAGTGCAATCAGTATCCTCCTTTAAACTGCTCGGTGTGCTGCTGAGAGAGGATCTATCTTGGTGTGATCATGTTGACTATGTGATTAAAAAAGCAAATTCCAGACTCTATGCATTGCGGAAGTTAAAAAAGGCTGGGTTAAGTGATAAACACCTTGTCACTATATATTTCTCCTTCATTCGGTCCCGAATTGAGCACGCTTCACCAGCGTGGTCAACGCTGATCCAAAGCCAGTCTGACCTTATCGAATCGATACGGAGAAGAGCATTACGTATCTTGCTTCCCGAAATGTCGTATCAAGACGCATTGAACTATAGCGGTCTAAAAAAGTTAAGTACACGTAGACATAATTCCTGCGAACAATTTATCCGGAAATTGAAGCTTGACAATGGTCCCATAAATCCTCTTAAGGATGTTGTTGCAACTCGTATACATCCAACTACTCATAATTATAATCTTAGGTCCGAATCAAGCTGGTCACTCCAAACGAACACAGAACTGTTTCAAAATTTTATAACTGTTAAATATAATTATTAATGTATTATTGATTTAGTAGTACTCGTTTATATTAATTCAGGTACCCAATTATAATTTGTGGAAAGATTTAAACTGACTATTCAGAACGAACATTGAACGGTTTGAACTCAATTTTATCTGTAAATTTAATTTTTAATGTATTTACTTATAATCATGTAATTCAGTCTCTACTGCAATGTGATTAATTAAACAGATTATTATTATTATTATAAAAAAGGGCATAATTCCCGTGATCGCTTCGAAACCTTCCGGTAATGCGACATTGCGTGTGATCACTGATCATGTTTCTATATGAAAGATTCCGTGTGAGGTAGCAATACGCTGGTTAGACAAAATAGCTTGTAATTTGATATATCACTTTGTCGCCTATGTGCTCAGTCTGTTTATAAGCCTATAAACACATTTTTTCTTGATGGAAGTAACTATATTTTCTCAAATGCGTTTTTTCCCACCCACTTTCAAAATTCGGCGGAATCGGCGCCCCATTTTCATTTCTGCCCCCCAAGAATTGCCAGCTGCCCCCCCCCCCCTGCCAGCACGCCACTGTCAAGGAGTGCATGAACATCTCACGAGTGGTTTTATGTGCAAACATTGTTAGTGACTTAAGATCTATACCTCTGATAAGCTGCAATCGTCTAGCCGAGTCTACAATACATCAGAGCTGGCTACCAAAATACCGGTATCGTTTGTCATTTGACAATCGCAACAGGGTATTGTATTTCGCGAGCTATTTTTTTAATCAATTTTATACTATTTCCCCTCTTGTCAACAAGCTTGTAATATCAAATATCATTGCGTTAGGCATTAAAAGTAATATTCAACTTCTCCCTCACACTAGCTTTGCTTGATTGATGACAGTCTATGGTGTTCTGCAGTTGCAGGCAAAGTGTTGGCGAGGCCTAAAATCACAGCGTGAGGTGCATTAATTGCACTCCTTCCCGTGTGATTACCTATACTAACTGTTAGAGGGTAACTGCATGTTCTCATATATGTCCAATATAGCCATCTGTTATCGGATTGTTACTATCCGTAACTTTCAATACAGATGGTCGTGCGGCATATGCGTTAACTGCCTCCCTTTTACATCAGACATTAACATGATTACAACCATCACTCGTTCTTTAAGAAACACTATATTAACTAAACATATATTTTGATTACATCAGACATTAACATGACTACAACCTGTAATCACACTTACGGATCGTCACCATCCGACGTCCGATGCCTATACTGGACATACCTCCATGTTCTGCCACAATAATTAATCGACTTTGGTTTTAACTGTGACGAGGCACCTCCCATAAACACTCTCTACTATTTACACCCGTGAAAAGCGAGAGCTAGCCGATTGAAGCGTCCATCAGGCCCATTTTGAGCCCGCTACAATTTCCCACACAAGTGGACCTCGCACTGATCTCAAAAATATGGTGAATGTCAGGACACACATTAATAGCAGTACTCTTTTAACTGTCGATGCTGTTCTGCGTCGTACGTAGACCAAACGGTTCGCCATTTACTCACATGAGTTTCATAACATAAGTGATAAGTGGCATGCAGTTACATGTTAGTTACATGTAATAGACCTTTCCCCTTTTGAGTGAAATTTTCATCTAGACAAGTGAATGCACATCTTGATCGTCTGTCTCTTGCGATTTTTCCTGACTTCACATTTTGCGCTAAAGCCTTCATAATGCATTTGTTGAATGCGTAATATTCTGAAGAAGAATGAAATTCACTAACAGGTTTATTGCGCAAAAAGAAACTGAGTAATTCGACATTTTATACGCCAAACACTGATCTATTTTCATATTCGAATCCGAATTAAATAAAAGCCGACCGTTCACTAATGGACCATTTGCATTACAGACTAAATTTTGATCAAAACAAGTCTAGACAAAAAAAATAAAAGCCGACCGTTCACTAATGGACCATTTGCATTACAGACTAAATTTTGATCAAAACAAGTCTAGACAAATTTGTCTAGACTTGTTTGATGCATTTGAATGCGCATTGAACAGAAATGTTTATTGTGAATGAAATTTGATTTTAATTAATTCTATTGAAGTAATAGTTCTCATGCAAATTAAAGCCAAATGACAATAGACCTTTCCTTATGAGTGAAATTTTTGGTCTGGGCTTGCTGGATCACGGCGATACTAAAATTAGTAATATTCCGAAGTTTCGTTGCGAAATGTTGTAAAATGCGGATAATATAGCCTTGCGAAGTTTGCCGTTTTTCAGTCGTTTTGCATTACAAACGGGAAATTGATAATCAGATGATCAAACTGATTACCAATTTTCCATTTGTAATACAAAATGACTGAAAAACGGCAAACTTCGCAAGGCTATATTATCCGCATTTTACAACATTTCGCAACGAAACTTCGGAATATTACTAATTTTGTAATGCTCTTTCAAGCTGTGATCCAGGCATATCTAGACCAAAATTTCACTCATAAGGGGAAAGGTCTATTGTCATTTGCTTTAATTTGCATGAGAACTATTGTTTCAATAGAATTAATTAAAATCAAATTTCATTCACAATAAACATTTCGTTCAATGCGCATTCAAATGCATCAAAAATTTCCTGGAAAGAAATTACATCTCGTAAATCTTCTTCATCAAGCTGCAACTAAATAAAACAAAACAACAAAAATTTACAGTTTGTTCTGGCAAAAGAAAATCAACTTACTAACGATGAGACTGCTAACTAAACAACAAAGCAACAAGTACTTACTGCTTGTGGACGACCATTTTCACCATCATCACATGTTACATATTCATCCGAAGTGTCACTTGATGAACTAATCATGTCATTTGGTGCAAGTTCTTGACTAGGCAAAGCAATATCATCCTGAACTGTTGTATCTAGCGGATGACTGATGGTAGGTGGCCCGTGGCCCGGCGTGGGCTGCAATGTGAAAAAAGGCTTAAAAAACCCAGTTTCGTGACCCTCATCTTGGAAATACTTTTTCTATCTCTTAATATGTAGATATACAGGTAATTGATTACCAAAAAAGTTCCCAAGAAAAATACCTGCGCATTCTCGACAAATCTTTATCCAAAGTGTTCGAAATCGAAGCTTGATATTTTGGCCGCCTGCATCTTGAATAATGGAACTCTGAGTGACGGTATTTAGTGAAATTTACTCTCTCCAGTTTTTTCTACCCGGTTCAGCCCGAAAAAATCAGGCTGGATGCAGGCTGGCTGCCTTTCCCGCGAAAATTTTTAATTTAAAAGATAGCAAAACATGTCGGCACTGAACAAGAAAGAAACAAGGTTCATTTTGCCGGAACAAAGGATAGTTTGTGTCAATTCACTAAAAAAAGGTTTGAAACCGTCGTGAGAAGCGGCTTCAGTTTGAAGAAGCGGCTTCGGAAATAGCGAAAAATTCGCTGCCGTCTGCCCTCAAGACGAAAGTTCTGAAAATGGTGAGCAATATTTTTTCCATCAGGAATGCTATATTCATTCACGGACATTTTGAAAATTAAAAGAGCTAGACAACAATAAAAGGTACTCAATTATGATGCGGAGAAAGAAAAATTCCATAAGGAAGTTGAGGAACCTCAATCGCCAAAACCAAAACGACGGAGTCGAGTGTCACGACAACCAGGAGCGTCGTAAGCGGGGGGGGGGCGGGGAGAGGAGACGAGCCCCCACTTTTTTAGTTGGGGGGGGGAGCTAAATGTCTTTGGGTCTCCCACTTTGTAACAATGGTCAATAATAAACCACAAAGTTAATTGATATTATTTCAGTTATGCGTGTAGACAAAACAAATTGAGATATTTTATGACATTTTGCTACCTTTAGAACTCTGTTAATCTCCTTCTAAAGTGCAGGAAATGGCATTTCAGAGACTCTAGTTTTAAAATGTTTCCGGGTGGAATGCCCCCGGAGCCCCCTAGAATGTCACCCGCCTTCGGCGGGCGCTAAGTGTGCCCCCCCCCCACTTTTAGAACCGCTCCGACGCCCCTGGGGACAACAACGTATTGTAAAAGAAAAACATCTTATATCATTTCTAGCGTGACTGTGCACATGTTGAATACTTGTAATTATTATATACACAAGGTCTGGATATGAGGTATTCTGCAATCTGATTGGTTCTGTACTAGCAGGATATTAGCTCATATCCTGCTGGTAGAGAAAAACAAAATGGCGGCTCAAACTGAATTTCCGACGTTTTGCGAACGAGAAACGGCAAGTTGTTCGCTTTTTATAGCCTTTACAGGATTAAAAACAATGAAAAAAATCGCTCAAATTGTTTACAGATTACAAAAGAATTTTTTTAAATTTGAAATGGTTAAAAATATATATATTTGAGAAACTAATCGGCCGAAAGAGCGTAGATAAAAACATGAACAAAATAGAAAATATCCGAAAAGCAAAGTCTATGAATTCAGACCTCGTGTATATAATAAAACAGTTATTCCACTCACTCTCGTCGAAAATGTGACATCGTGGAAAACCTAATGAAGCTGGTTAATGTAAAAAACATTCTATCAACATCCTTTGCAAGTGCAGAAAGAGCATTCTCGGCTATGAACCGCATATGTACAAAGCTGAGGTCATCTCTGATCCCTGCAAGATTTAGTGATTCGATGTGCATAACACTAAACAGAGATATAGCACTTAACTTGGACATTGATACTCTCATCAAAAAGTGGGCATCAATTTGCAATAGAAAAATTAACGTGTAATTTGACTCGGAAAATAACTACGAATTTTTAGCACCAAATACAAAAACTATCTGAAGAAAGTTGAGGATTTGTTTGGCTTGACTAATGATTACCCACGTACTAAACTTGTGATTGCCATTTTCCAATTATTCATGAAGCAAAATTGCAGTATTTAAGTGTCAATATGTATTATTTGATAAAATTGCTAATAAAAATAAAATGTCTAATAACTCCAATCTTATTTTAACCCATTTTTGTTTTCAGATATTGATAGAATTCTTTTTCATCCTCCAGGTAGTCCAGGACTCCAGGAAACTAAGGGTTTTTCTCCCACTGTCCCACACACATAATACCTGCTGGTAGCCTGTAGCTGCATTTGCAGCTTCCACAGTGACGCTGCATGCGGTCATGCACCCCACTAAAATGAAAATCCTCTCTTGTTGTATAGATGGCAACCTAACGAAAACGGTAAGCCCACTAAAATGAAAATCCTCCCTTGCTGTATAGATGGCAACCCAACGAAAACGGTAAACCCACTAAAATGAAAATCCTCCCTTGCTGTATAGATGGCAACCCAACGAAAACGGCAAATTTGATGCACATGCTGGAAGGAATGTCACCGGAATGGGTAAATAATTATCTTCCCCGCAACAGTGTTATGATGGATGCGATGGCGTTACTACAGAGTCCGACAAGAATTCCCAAGACGTTTGGTGACTAGCTGCTCACGTTTTATCACAGTTGTTATCCCTTGCGGGGTTTCACAAAGCTTAACGGACAAACTTTGTTGCAGACCGTTACCCAGATCATAGCATTAAGGCTAACGAAAGAAACAGAAGAGCTGTACAAGAAAGCACTCTGTTTAACATATATGGAAAGAGTCAGCCAACGCCTGCGCAATAGAAGAAGTATCTCAACAGTGATAAACACAAAGAAGCTATCATCTCCTTTCTGATCGAAGTCAGAGGATTTGACGGGATTGATTTTGTACGCTACACGGGGAGATAAATGCTGAAAATTCCTCCCACAAGTCAATCTACAATTGTTGAGACAACAGAAGTCGTAGAGCTAGAATGTGATCACGAAGAAGCAGATATCTGTTTGCTGCTTCATGCAAAACACGCATCCGGCAATAATTTTTCCGTTGTGCTATCAAAAGTCCAGACACTTATGTGTTTCTTCTTATAATCGCGATGAAACAGAACTTCAGTACCGATCTCATCACCGGAAATCAGAATCAATCAAGGATCATTTCAGTGAACGAAGTGTGCGACAAAGTAGGCAGCGAGACATGCAACTTGATTATTGGGTTCCATGCGTTCACAGGTTGCCAATCTGTCAGTTCCTTCTATGGTAAAGGAAAAGAAAAGCCTGGAAAGTTTTGTCTGAAAACCCCAAAGGCAAAGATGCGTTCAGAACACTTGGAAATGAAGTTGATCCTACCGAGGAGTTGCATGAAATATTGGTGGAATATGTGGTGGCTCCCTAGGGTTTTATTTCCGGGGGTTACTCTTTGTATATATGTAAAGTTGTAAACTAAAACTTGTGTGACTTCGAACGAACGTTGTGTTTTTATATGGAACTCTTTTGAAACAAAAATGTGAACTTTGCTTTAGTTGAAAGCATAAAAATAGTTCTAAAAGACAAAACGATACTTGGATGTGATGTTTCAAAAGAAGATAATGTAAACTTGTTTTTTTTTCAAGCGGTATTCTGGAAGTTTTTTGAACCGCCGTACGCCAGGTTCGATCGCGAACATTGGGATATGATATAAAGTTTTCTCAAGAATTTGCAGTGTTTTCTCCACAATCTAGCAGCACTTATGACAATAAAGATGACTTAAATAATGAGCCCTCTACTGGTGAAATGAGCAGGGCCGAAAGTCCAAACATACCACCATAAAAACTGAAATTTGAACGGGCATTTTGCGAAAACATCCGACGTATGTACTAACTCGCACGGGACGAATTTTGACAAACATTTTTCAAATTAATACCAAGAAATCATAATTAATAATTACCTAAATATCTTTGCCAATTTTACATGTATAATCCACGCTTAGTTGACCAATAACCGACACAGTTATAAACAGTATATCAAACATAATTCATATTTTGTGATTTCAAAAAAGTCATGCCTTGTTCTGCAGAATGCCTGTACACGTCAGTTGGGGTATTAAATTGTTCGCGTAAAAATCTAGTAAAATTGCGAAAATTAATCCCAAATTTCTCCGTTTTCCTTCGGTAAAATTTTTTAAAACTTTGCACATTTTTTAGTACCGGCACAGCAAGTGCAATATCCTTTTTTAAAAAAATTAAATCGAAGGGAAAATTTTTAATATTGATTTTTGACGTTTTTTAAATTTTCTAAGAAACGTATCGATTTAATTTTTTAAATTGAGGGGAAAAAATCATTATATAAGTATGACCTTTTATGCAAAGTTTTAAAAAATTTCACCGAAGGGAATTTTAAAATGACCTGAAAAAGACAAATTTTGGGCTTTATTCTAAGCATGTTGTTGCCATGACAACAGATTTTTAACACAAAAGTTGCAATTTGTAATGTTCAGGAGAACATTGTCAATGTGTCCAATAAATTTCGTTTTCATGTCATGTAAAGTGAAGAAACAGGAGTCTCCTGAATACTATAGTGTAGTGAATTAAAAAATAGGTACGCAAGGCGTACATGTATCTGTGAAAAAACTCGATTCACATTTTGTATTTTCTTGAAAGGAACTGAATAATGAAGGTGACATGGGACAATTGAAATATTTCATCACTTATTATAATAGCAGATAAGATTTAAAACAGGGCTTGTACACAGCGGGGAGGGCGGCAGGGCAAGTGCTCGCCCCCCCCCCCCCAAGAAAATTTAACCAACTTTATAATGTGATTATGATTGTAACAGATAATTATGCAGTCAGGAAATAAAAATTTCATGCAAACAATATTCAAAGTGGCTATACAGCCGGCTATTTAGTAAACTGTCACCTGTCAATTCAATCCATACTCATCAAATTTTCAAAACTTTATTGTAATCATATGAAGCAAAAGTTATGTCACTTGTTGTTTACACTTGCCAATGTTAACTGTTGAGTAACATACACAAAATATTTGGTGAACATGTCGAAAACCACTGAATAATTGAGAATGATTTGAAGGTCATGAGTGAAGTATATAATTAAATTCCAGTTCTGTGCACAGTTAATGATATACCACACTGTTCGGTTTAACAC